AGTTATCGTGGATAGTTCTCTGAAAACTTCCACACAGTGTGCAGCGGTGGTCAAAAAGGCAAATAGGATGCTAGGAATTATTAAGAAAGGGATAGAAAATAAGACACAGAATATCTTACTGCCCCTGTATAAAACTATGGTACACCCACATCTTGAATACTGTGTACAGATGTGGTCTCCTCACCCTAAAAATATATATTTTGGCCTTCGAAAGGGTTCAGAGAAAGGCAACTAAAATGATTAGGGGTTTGGAATGGGTCCCATATGAAGAGAGGTTAAAGCAACTGGGACTCTTCAGTTTAGAAAAGAGGAGACTGAGGGGGGATATGATAGAGGTATATAAAATCATGAGTGGTGTGGGGAGGACAGATAAAGAAAAGTTATTTATTAGTTCCCATAATAGAAGAACTAGAGGACACCAAATGAAATTCATGGGTAACAGGTTTAAAACTAATAAAAGAAAGTTCTTCACACAGCATGTAGCCAACCTGTGGAACTCCTTGCCAGAGGAGGCTGTGAAGGCTAGGATTATAATAGAGTTTAAAGAGAAGCTAGATAATTTCATGGAGGTTAGGTCCATAAAAGGCTATTAGCTAGGGGATAGAAATGGTGTCCCTGGCCTCTGTTTGTCAGAGGCTGGAGAAGGATGGCAGAAGACAAATCGCTTGATCATTGTCTTCTGTCCATCCTCTCTGGGGCACCTGGTGCTGGTCACTGTTGGCAAACCGGCTACTGGGCTAGATGGACCTTTGGTCTGACCCAGTATGGCCATTCTTATGTTCTTATGTACCTCCTTATGAGATATGCTGTTCATTTTCCCAGTGTCTCTGCTGCTGCAACAGCTGTTGCCAGAGGCGCCAACTTCCTAAGGTGCTGTGGGGGGCTTGTCTCCCACTCCACATCAAGTCCCCCTCCTACTCAACTCCTTCTCCCAAGGCTCCAATCCCAACCTGGCCCCATCCCACCCCCCCGCTCTGCCCCACGACTTCCCACCCTGTTACATCCCTTCTCTCAAGAGCACCCCACCCTCATTCCACTTGCTAGTGCCTCTGCACCCTGCTCAACAGCTGATCACCGGCACATAGGAAGCATTGAGGAAAGGGGAGAGATGATGAGCGGGGCTACCAGTGAATGCTGAGCACCTACCATTTTTTCCATAGGTGGTCCAGTCCCTGTACATCCAAAGAGTCGGCACCTATAGCTGCCTCTAGTGATTTATGGAATTCTGGCCAAGGAGAACTTTGATTGGACATTAAAATCAGATCTTCTGGTGTCTGAATGTGCTCTGCTAGCTAAAAGCCAGAAAGCTGTGGGTAGCACAGTTCAATGCCAACACAGCCTATCGACCAGCTCTAAAAAACAACTAGGTTGCCTAGGGGATAATAGACTGGTTTCCATCAGGTAGGTGATGAGGGGGTGGAGAGATAAAACAAGAACGGGGAAGAAAGAAAAGAGAAGCTTGATGATGGGACAGATCAAGGAAATCCACACAACATCCATCTTGCTTGTGCCTTTTCCAATCCCCTCCAGCCCACCACATCCACCCCACTCCCCACCACCCTGCCTGCTAAAATCCTAAAGCCAGCCTGACTCCCGAGGTAGCTGATTTCACATTCAACAGAAGAACATAAAGGGAAGGAGACACCCAATAATAGCCTTTGTAATAATGGAGCAGAAAGACACTAGCATGCCAGAAAGAGAATATTAAAAATAGTACATGATAAACCCACCTATGGAGAAATACAGATTCAATTAAAATCTTTGTGATGAACATGAGGGAAGGGCAGCTACAAAGTATTATAACAACCCATTGGCTTAATGCTGGCACGCTTGAGAAAATTATTCACTGCAGGATAAAATTCAAGATATTTTATTCACTACGAGCCTTTGACCCAGAATAAATCTTTTTGTAGAATCTCTGAGGTTCTCTTTGTCTCTGTTATTTATAGCCAATGGACCACATTTAACCTTCAGTTAGTGCAGGGAATAAAGAATCTGTAATTTTACATGACAGGAACCATACACATTTTAAAAGCGTCAGGTGGGTTGTTTTACAGTGTTCAGCCTTTGATAACAGTTTTAGGAGAGGAAGTATAGATTAATTTATCTGACTGAGCCAGAATGGAAAATAATGGAGCGTGTAACACACAATCCTAACTTTATAAAAGCAAATTTAGCTCTAGTGCAGGGTGCCAAACAGATATCCCTGCAGACAGAGTCTCTTTTTATCCACAGAACAGTACTCACAACAGTGTAAGCTTCACTGATCAACCCATGTGCATGCTTCAATTTGCTCAGGAAGAATCTCTCAGGGTGAGGGGGCATTTAGAATTTGGCTTTTGCCTTAGGACAAATCAATAAGGGAGTCTCTTAGTACCAAGCATGCTTATGTTTATTGTGGTGTGGTATCTGTCTACTAGGAACTAGAAATAAGATCAGTTCACATGTCACTGTACTACAATTTTACATTAGCAACTATTATTTATTACTGGTCTGGAGTCATTGCACTAGTGGTCAAAACATGCTAGATGTTTTCCAAACACAAAGATAGACATAGTCCATGCTCCAGGGCAGAGGTCACCATCAGTAGTTTGGGATCTACAGGTAGATCTTGGAACCTCTGACAGATGATCTGGTTTGGCCAGGAAGCTATCAAGCACTGACACTTCAGTTTCCCTTCCGTCCACTGTCATGCTACTCCTGCCCTCTGCCTTGGAGCTGCCTCCCTGGGAGCCTCCTGCTTGCTGTGCAGTGTGTGGGAGGGAGAAGAGGGAGCACACTGAAATCAGGGTGTCCTTCCTTCCCCCACTCTTGTACCCTATCTCCACACACAGAGAAGGGGACAGAGGGAGCTTGGCAATGCAAATCTGTCACTCACACACACTGTGAGTGTGTCTGTCATTCTTACAAACACACACACTATCCTTCACTCTCATCTCCTGATCCAACACACATGTGGGGGTTGTTGTTACTTCTTTTACTGCTTGCAAAGTGGGTTATTTTTGATTTTTTGACTGGTCTGTGCATTTCATAATTTTCATTTCTCTCTTAAGCTTAAATTTAATTCTTTGAGTTGTAAAATGTGTAACCTACTGTGGCTGGAGTCATTAGCCCTATGGTAATTGTGCTCCTGGACGTGGCTGGTATTTCCCTGAAGTCCTTAAGAAAGGCAGAGCAGGGGGTCTTCATGTGCTGTCCTTGCTTGCAGACACTGCTCCTGCAGCTTCCATTGATCAATAGCAGGGAACCTGGCCAGTAGAAGCTGTGCGCTCAGTGCCTGTAGATGAGGGGCAGCACATGGCACCTTGGAGTCACTGCTGTACATGCCAGCTGCTTTCAGGAGTGGTGCAAGGCCAGGGCAAGAGTGAGCCTGCCTCAACCCCACTGATCCAGCACTCGGAAGCCATCTCAGTTAATTGGTGCCCAGCCAGAGACTGCTTCCTGAACAACTCCTGCACCCAAACCCCTGCCTGGAGTTTGCACCCTGAAACCTCTCCTGGACTCCAATCCCCCACCCTGAGCTAAGCCCGGAGACCTTCCCACACTCCAAACTCCTTGGCCCAAGACTAGAGCCTGAACCCCCACCCTCTACCCCAGCCTGGTGAAAGTGTGTGAGAATGGGAGAGGAAGGGGGATGGAGTAAGCAGAGTGAGGCATCAGAGAAGAGTGGAGCAGGGGAAGGGAGTGGGGCAAAGGTATTTGGGTTTGAGGTAGATCTCACATTGCACTTAAAATGAAAAAAGTGATCTTGTGGTTAAAAAGGTTGGAGATCACTACCCTACAGTATCTCTGTATTGCAAATAAAAACCTGTGGCTGGACTGTGCATGCTAACTCAAGCTTGCAGGACTCAGGCTAACAGGCTGTTTAATTGGGAGGTCAATGTTTGGGCTCAGACTTCAGTTTGAGCTCTAGCACCCTTTCACCTCACATGGTCCTAGAGTCAGGACTCCAGCCTGAGTCCAAATATCTACCGTGCGACTAAACACTTCCCTCAACCGAGCCTTGAGAGCCCAGGTCAATCGCACGTTTTTAACTGTAGTGTAGACATATATCGATAAAGAGTCTAAAAAGATAAAGAAAAGTGAAGGGCTGGGGCAGTGTGATACAATGTGCAAAGAAGGGGAGCAGTACAAATGGTGGGTGTTGATCTGAGTGATTTTATTGTTATGTTTCCTTTCTCTCACCTAAGAGCATATAAGTAATGTTTACTTTAGTCTGTAACAGAAGCCAGGCAGGAGGGAACTGAGGTATATTCTAGACAGAAGCTCTGTGGAGTAACAGACAGAAAGAGACAGCCAGCGTAGCTTTAGTAATTTTTTTTCCTCTAATTGTTTGCCTGCTCAGTGTTAGAAGAAAGTGACACGCTGATTTTTTTACCATTGTCACGTGACATCATCTTCTCTCCATTCACTTCGCACTCACACACTTCTGTTCCAAGGCTTTTAGGTCCGTCTCTCAAGACCAACCCCTTTCCTTCCATACTAATGAGACATATATTCATCAGATAAGTAGATAAAAATCGATAGGTTAAGTGACTATCAGCTAGATTCCTTTAGTATCATAGAAGAGACGACTCTTTGGAAGGGATTTAAATGAGGGCAGGTCTTTATGGACTAACCCAGGAAGGGAGCGCAATATACAATGAGAAAACCACCACTTCCATCAAAGATACATTCCCCCTCCAACTTCTTTCTAAAATTATAACTTTTATGTTTTCTCTTCATGCATATTAATAATTCCATTCACGTGCTCAAGTCTCGGTTCACTGTCATGGTGAAGGCTGACACGCCCTTCTGCACTGTTGGTAGAGAAGGCTGATACATCAAGGAGTGGGTAGGTGCAGAAAATAAGTGTATCCATGTTTCACAAGCAGATTAGATGAATGCCTACCGCCCATATTATAAATTATTAGTCAGAGGTGCTCCTACTGAAGAGGTTGCGATGACATTTGTGCCAGTTGTTTAGCAACTGGAAACAAGCTAATTACTGTAATACATACCAACTGAGGAGGTTGCGGCTGTGCTGTATACGGAGGGGGTGGTGTCTCTGCTGTTATTTCTGGATCTTCATGTTCACTTTCACTATAGCATTCTAGGGGAAAAAAGTAATATGGGAAAAATTCAGAAACCTATTTATTCCTTTTAGCTGCTCAGCAGTTGAGGATCATTATAGGATTACATTCAGTAACATGATGGAGCTGCCTCTGATTGCATGTAACTGCACTTCATGGTTATTTTGGTTTGAAGGCCCAAACCCATTATCTTAATGACTTCACAACAGTGTCCCCTCACCACTATTGTAAGGCAACTTGTTTTGAAATGTATTTATATTCTAATTTTATTAATATGGCAGAAGTCATCAAATGATGCTGCCATATAGTTTTACCAGTTCCTTTTCTTGGCGTGTATGCAGCGTTCAAGTATGAAGAAATGCTCTGTTGCTAATTTTGCAATTTTGAGGAAGCTGTGGCAAGTTTGCTCTCTTCCTTAGTCTCTCTAGTGTCAATTGCTGGGTTAGAGTTGCTCTCTGGAAAGGAGGCATTGGTGTTTTGGCCAGAATTCCTGGAGGAGAAAGATTTCCTGCATACTGTTTGTGACCATCTTCATTCTAGGGGTACGTTTCGACTACAAGCCTCTTTCAAAAGAGACTTTTTCAAGAGAGCTCTTTCAAAAAAGCCTCTTTCGAGAGAGATCGTCTAGACAGCCACAAGACTTTCAAAAAAGCAACCGCTTTTTCGAAGGAGAGCACTCAGGCAATCTGTACGCTGTCTTTCGAAAAAGCCCTATTGCATTCAAGAACAACACTTTTGGAAAGAGTTCTTTCCAAAAAAGGCATTCTTCTTCATAAAATGAGGATTACCTCTGTCGAAAAAACTACTGCTTTCTTTCGATTTAATTTCAAAAGAACACAATGGCAGTCTAGATGCAGGTGAAGTTTTTTTCGAAAAAAGGCTACTTTAAAAAAAACTGTCTAGTATAGACATAGCCTAAGACTAATTTACATAAAGTGAAGTAAACAAGTTTTACTTCACATCACCTCTACCTCACCATATTTTTTTCCTTTGGGGAAACTGACCTGAAAGGCCCCAACATCTTATACTGCTCAGTAGAGGGACAACAATATGAATCAAAAGAAAAACAGCAAGAGAGTTGGTGGAACTATTCACTGCTGCTACTAGGAATTTTTTTAAAAAACTAGATTAAACAAACAAAGCATTCACAAACATGGCATAGCTTCTAATACAGATATACTCTTTTACAGACAGAGAAACTGAGACACAGAACTTAAAATGACAAAGAAGATGACAAAGGAAATCAAAATGTAAATGGTCCTAATACGCAGGGTACTTCTGAAGCCCATGGAAAACACAGCTTTCACTAGCTTCAGTCCCTCAACAGTCACCAACATTTCAGATTCAAACTTGGAGCAAGTGTTTATGAGAGATTTCATTCTGCTTACATGCTTTCCTGTGCTGCATATAATGTGTCACACACACACACGTGCGCCCTGTACCTGTTCATCTGATCTGAACGGAGCCATCGTGTGGTTAGCAAGCATCAGTTAAACAAAGTTCAATGACGACAGCAGCAGCGGGTGATGGGAGACAGAGGTAATGACTGCCCCTGTGGTTTGACTGCCCCTGTAGAACCAGTATTCTTCATTTCCTCTTCTCAGCTGTTGCACACTGTTACTCTGTGCCGTTTAATAACAGTAGCATTCATCTGGTGGAAATACCACCTTACTATCTTTGACCTAGCTCACAGGGAGATTGTAAAATTTCTGTTTTTATGCTCACGAAGCATTTTGTGCTCTGTAAATGTCATGACACCATGCAGGTACGAAGTATTATAAATTAACATCACCAGTTGATAACAATCAATTATCACTTCTTTCCCATAAATTATTGGTTGTACATTCTCTTTTCCCCCCCTTCTTTTATATATTGAATACTGTATGCCACTTTTTTGGTTCTAATCATTTACCTGCTAGCAAAAAGCGCTGACATGAAGAGTTTAAGCAAAAGAAAGATGTCATAAAGATGTAGATAAAATGACATGCAGGGGATTTGCCAGGTTTTGTGCAGTTTTGCATATGTTGGCATTTTATTATTGGCAGAAATAGAGCATTATTTTTAGTTATTTTTAACAAAGCTATAATTTTGTTTACTGCAAACTTTGGCCAGCTACATGTTTTAAAATTTTGTTTAGAATAACAGATTGAAATTTCATGCAAGTAGAAGCATTTAAGAAATCAAAGGAACTATTGATTAATAAAGAAAATATTCTTATATTCTTTCTGCAGCTCTTTTTTTATATACACATCTCACACCAGAACAGTAAAATCTATACCTGGCTTCGGATATTGCACATGGATTGCAGGAGGAACTAAATGCACAGAAACCAGTTCCCTCACATGTTCCCCCAGAAAAGCAGGAATTCAAGAGCTCCTTTACTGACCCTAAGGAAAGCATTAGAGTGCTGGGAACTATGGCATGTCCTTAGGCTATGTAAGCAATTTCCCAAAATGTGGGGTGTGCCCACCTAGCTAACAGGAGGAAGATGAATAGGCCTGTAACAACACACATTTCAGGAGTACAGGGGAGGAGATGGGAAACCCACCTACCTAACAGGAGGAAGATGGATAGGCCTGTAACAATACACATTTCAGGAGTACAGGGGAGGAGATGGGAAGGGATTAATTTTCCTTAAAACAAGAATGAAGTATGTCAGCTTTTAAAAGTCTAAAAAAATGCCAGACAACATTACATCTGTTCTGATGATAAAGTGCTGATAACTTAGTCACCTGCTGTAGAGGTTAGCTGAGTAGAGTTTCTCAGGATAGGAGCTCTTTCGTCCACTTGCATAGTTCCTATTAAGCTCAATTGACTTTCCTAATTTAAATTGCTTCTTATTTTCCTCTCTCTCCTTTTGCTTCAGCTATTTCCCCAAACACAGCTAGCATAGTATGCTTCCTGGTTATTTCATTTTTAATCTCCTATTTGTTTCCATAATACTGAGAGACTGCCAGTCAAATTTTTGTCATACTCTTCCAACCAGCCATTCTGTTGCTTGCCTATACAGCTCCAGCAAAGCTGCACCAAACTTCCCTCTTCTGACATACCTATCACATTGGGTTCCCTGCCACAAGACCTAAGATCCAATGTAGCAACATGCTCACCACTTGCCCCAAACTGCTCTAATACCTGAATGAAGAGTCACTAGGGAACATATCCATAAGTGGCAAGTTTGGGGCGAAAGTTAGGGAACCAGTGAATGGAGGTTTCTGTTAAAGAGAAGGAAGGAAAAACACAACTGTATCTCAGTTTACCCAAAGGAGACTGTGAGGCATTCTGCTTCTCCAGGTACCTCAAGATATCACCACCAGTGATTTTTATCAGCACAAAGCAGCTTGTAATACCACACCATATGGCACTGAGCAAGCTCAGCACAGTTAGCCTACGTGAATGTGTTCTATGTACAAACTAAATCCCTCATTCGCAGAAGTAGCAAAGTGCCTAAAGAGACGCGTGTATCAGAACCTTTTGGTGTTCATACGCACAGAGTGAACCATTTAGGCTGTAAAACTCCCGGGATGCAGGGTTTTGTCATTTTATGCCTAGAAAGCACTACATATGTAATATTTCATTAATGAATAAATTATGGAAACGCTTTTAAACCATACATTTCACGGTTGCCAAACAATTAATGGCTATGCCTTGGTTGATTGAAATCAGATATTTCAGGGCACAGATGGCTTATTGGTGCTAGTGAAACATCTAACAACTAATGAGCCACTAACTAAAAGTTTAAGGAGAACAGGGTTAACGAGAAATTTTGCACAAAAAAATTTCACAGGGTAAGAAAAAAAATGAAATGGTTCCAAACTTCCATGCAAAAAAATTGTGATGTGAACATACCTTCCTCATTCTTTCCATTGGATGCCTGGGGAATTACAGCTAATCCCAGTTTATTTAGCCACCTGTGTTATAAACAGAAAGCAAACACATTTTTAGGAATATTTGTAAACTGCTCTGCATCATCTTCAGATACAGCCATCTTCCTAAATTTGATTTTCACCACCAGCGTTCTTTTCTTTGACCCTCAGTTTAAACTTCCTGTGGGATTCAGGGCAAGTTTACCCTGCCACGTGAGGTTGGCTTGCCTACATCTAGGCTGTTAAAAATGTCATGCCCACTGCAAAGTAGTTAAGCTAAAGGAAGATCCAGTGAAGACACCACTAGGCTAATGGAATAATTCTTACATCAAGCTAAACACTGCAGCTGTGTCTAGACTGGCCAGTTTTTCCAGAAAATCAGCCGCTTTTCCGGAAAAACTTGCCAGCTGTCTACACTGGCCCTTGAATTTCCGCAAAAGCACTGACGATCTCATGTAAGATTGTCAGTGTTTTTGCGGAAATACTATGCTGCTCCCATTCGGGCAAAAGTCCTTTTGCGCAAAACTTTTGCACAAAAGGGTCACTGTAGACAGCCCAGATTTATTTTCTGCAAAAAAGCCCAGATCGCGAAAATGGCAATCGGGGCTTTTTTGCGGAAAAGCACGTCTAGATTGGCATGGACGCTTTTCCGCAAAAAGTGCTTTTGCAGAAAAGCATCCGTGCCAATCTAGACGCTCTGTTCCGAAAATGCTTTTAATGGAAAACTTTTCCGTTAAAAGCATTTCCGGAAAATCATGCCAGTCTAGACGTAACCTGCCTGTTGGAGAGATGGACTTGCTACAGCAATGGAATAACCCATTCCATTGTGGTAGCAAGTGTCTATACAGCACAGTGCTACAGCAGCCAAGCTGATGGTGAGCCTCTATAGTGCAGACTCTCCTTAAAAGATGCTGAATACCTACTAGTCCCGTTGATTTCAAAGGTCGCTTTCAAGCATCTAAGAAGTTGATATGTACCCCTCACCTCACAGGCTAAGGAATTGTTTGTAAGGCTATTTAAAAGTCCCTCTATTTTAAAACTGCCTCCATACATAGGAATCTGAACCAATATCTCCATTATTTAAGGTATTGTAACATATTGTTTGTTCCCCAGGGTTACACAATCTCATGCTCTGATCAGATTACAGTGTACTTTGTAAGAGTAGATCCTTTAACTCAGGCTTCCTGACCAAATTGAAAATTGTGTAAGTTATGTTCTGCCTTTCTAACATCAGTTTTATATAGCATTCTTCACTTCCTGTTCTAAACTGTTCAGTAGCACTGTTGCATGCTATTAACAGCTGCTCTCTTTCTCGCCTTCCCTAGAGGGCTGTGTTCTCTTCGTGCATAAAGTGACGCCAGGTTACAGTTTTTGTACCTTTTTGATTTATAAATCATTTGATCCTTTCAAACAGAAGAGATAGGTTTAAAAAAAAGTCCAGATTTAAAAGGTTGCCATCACGTAGGAGTGTAAAGTGCACGTTGGTAGACACATGTAGCTATCTGCTATCCAGCACTCATTTGCTCTATGTTTGCTTGACTACTGCAAAGAGTTCATCTTCAAACACATGTACCAAATAAATGAAGCATACTACTCCCTGAATAAACTCATTAGTGGTTTAATGGATGAAAGCCTGTGGGAGTCACAAACAAAGGTCATAATCCTATAAACTTTTACGTACATGAGAAACTTTACACATGCTTCAGAGGGGTAGCTGAGTTAGTCTGTAACAGGAAAAACTTAAAAAAACAACAAATAGTCTAGTAGTACTTTAAAGATTAACAAAACATGTAGGTGGTATCACGAGCTTTCATGGGCACAACCCACTTCTTCAGATGACCGGTGTGGTGGTGTTCAGTGGAACTAATGACAAGTGTAAACAGTTTCAGGATTGGAACCAAGATGACAGATATTTTATTTTTTTACTTAACTACAGTTTGATTTTACTTAACTACACTCTGGTTTGATTTTTTTTAAGCCATAATGAGATTTTGTTTGTTTTGAGATATCTTTCAGCGTCTTGGGTACATTAGTGAGAAACTGTGTATATAAAAGCACAAAATAACTATTTTCTCAATGTACGTGGATTTTTCCTCCAGTACAAAATGAATTTTTTTTTGTAGATAAAGGAATCTTGGTGGCAGGTCCAAAGGTTTTTTTCTATGAACACTTGTAGGAATTGTTTGCTTCAATATTCATGAAAAACAAGTGAAAATAAGAATGTGAATACTGCTGAAGCAAAATTAATTTTAGAAGGCACCCAACTATGCATGGAGTATTTTTTACTCCTTATTGACTTAACTTTACATTCGACATTGTCTGACTTACATGCAACTTATATTCCGTTTGTGTCTGCTACTGTAGATTGTATTCTGTTGCAGATAGGAATGCTGCTTATACATAAAGTGCAATGAGTCTATAGGGCTCTGTGTAGTAATAATAAATAATACTAAGCAGCTTGTTTGGCAGGCATTGTGATCTTGGGGTATAGAGAGAAGCCAGTGGTAGTAAGACATCTAATCCTTGATCTGACATTGAACTTTTGGAAAATAATGTAACTTCTCTTTGCCTCTTTGTCCAGTCAGGAAAGTAGAGTAATGATACATACTGACCTCACTGTGGAAGGGGATGGTTGTGGAAATTAGTTTTTGTACACTTCTGCAAGTATAAGTAGCTATACTCATTGCAACCAGCCAGGAGGAGCAGGGAGCACCATACAAAGGGACATTACATCTCCCTCAGTGTACCATAGATCTAATCTCTTCTATACAGTGAAAATCTCAGGGTATGTAAATTGAGAAGGAAAGGGAGAGAGTGAATATTAGGTAGAAGAAACTTCTGAAAAGAAAGAAGTTGACTTTAAAAGATGTAGTCAAGAGGAAGGCACACAAGGAAACAATACCACTTTTTGAACTCAGCTGGAAGATATGAGTGTCGTAATATTCAATTCTGAAATATTTAGTCTCCTTTGAGTGACAAATTAAAACCTATGCAGGCATGTCTCACTCCATCCTCACAAAATATATTTTGCAAACTGTAGTTAGGTAAATTTCATTATGGCTTTAAAATCAGGGCCATTATTAAATCAGTAAGAACAACAAGAAGTCCTGTGGCACCTTATAGACTAACAGATATATTGGAACATAAGCCCATGGACAAAGACTCACTTCGTCACATGCATCTGATGAAGTGGGTCTTTGCCCATGAAAGCATATGCTCCAATATATCTGTTAGTCTATAAGGTACCACAGGACTTCTTGTTGTTTTTGCAGATTCAGACTAACACGGCTACCCCTCTGATATCAAATCAGTGTATAGCCTATTGTACCGTACCTTCCTTTGTAAGATTGTATAAGAAATTTCCATTTGTATTATTTAAAGTGTATTAAAATTTGTCAGACAATTCATAATTCACAATACAGATCATATTTTAAAGGCTTAACAACAGGGGCAAGAGTTAATCTTTGAGGATTGCTAGTTTATGAGAACTTTAGGAAAACTGATTTATCTTTGTGATTTTGTGATGGACTTACTGAAAATGGGCTTTATAATAGGATCCTAACTTAATCGTATAGTTCCTGTACCGGTAGATCGGAATAGGAATCCTAGTCCGAACTACCTAGTTCGAGCCCCGTGTAGCCGCGCTGCACGGGGTTCGAACCAGTGAGGATTTAAAAATGGCGGCTCCCCACTTATGCAAATGAAGCCCAGGAAATTCAAATCCCGGGCTTCATTTGCAAGTGCGGTATGCCTACATTACCCCGCTAGTTCGAACTAGCGGGGTAGTGTAGACATACCCAAAGATCAAATATTGCCACTACATAGTATCTTAATTAAATTGGCACATTTTTAAACAACCACCAGTAGATCAGAGTGTTTTATCTTACATTTACCTTGAAGATATCCATTACTGCATCAATAAGAAAAAACAGAAACAACAATCTAAGAATACTCTTGAATCACAACTACTACTTGCCATCTAAAAAAACCAACCTGGGGCAAAGGAATGGTTCTAAGATGGTAGACAAGGATAAAGATGTTCACTTTCTGTTACTTACCTATTCATTTCCTCCACATTCTCTGCTGCAAAATAAAAAGTCTTGATCTGTGGGTGGCTGACCTTAATAGCACTTCAAGAAACAAACAAGAGAGAGAGAGAGAGAGAGAGAGAGAGAGAGAGAGAGAGAGAGAGAGAGAGAGAGAGAGAGATAATTAAGGTAGAGAAAAAACCATGAAATTGTATGACCAAATTATCCAAATCATAACACTTTTGTACACCCCAGTCTATTAAGAAATGTATTTTTTCTTCAAAATTGTTTGACATTTTTAGTGGACTTTTAGAGGTCAGACATTTTAGCAAAGATATAAAGAACGATGAGTCAAAATAGAGAAGAGGCATATCAAGACTGAAAGGACATTTTCAGAAGAAAAAAATTACTAACATATTTTTAGCATTGTAGGGTCATTTTGTGGCCGCCTGATTTTTACACATTTTTGATGAAGAGAAGGAGTTAAAAAGATACTTGTAAGAGTAAATGTTACAGTGATATTGGCTGCCCTCTATCAAATCAACAATGCTATAGGCTTGGGAATAAACACCAAAGTGTCACAAGAGAGATGTGCAGACTAAAGAAAAAAAGTTTCCAATTCTGGATGCTCACATAGAATCCATCTCAATTCACCTCTGTTCTGTTTCCTCCCAAAAGAGTAAGTCATCTTGTTTCAGAAAAGCAATAAAGTTGCCTTCTAGTAAATTTCTGGAGGGCCAATGGGACTGGAAGCTGCCCATGGGACTGTAATAAAAGTCAATCCCGTTTCATGGTTGCTTGGTGGGTTACATAAAATGAATTGAACTCAATCCAAATATTGTTAGCAAGTGTCCACATAAACATGCATCATCAACTCTGTCAATGGCAGCTTCAATGAAGAAATGTACGGCAATGAAGACTGAGCTAGCTACTTGTTAAATTAGAATTGAAAAAATGACACTTCTACAGGCAATTGCATCTCTGTTCTGTGGTTAACTAGAGGATTTCAGGCAGCCTAAGCAGATCATAGGGCACTTTTTCTCAAAATATCTGGGGGAGGGGGAGCGGTTTTCATTTACAGTAATGGCAAAAACTCTACCAAAGTAGCTTGTGTCAGAAATGATCACTGCAACAATCAGTTGGAAAATAATTGAGGAATAGCTACAGAAAGCAAACAATCAATTTGCAAAGTATTCACATAGGAATCCTCATTCTAAAGGTGTCACTCATCCACTCAAGGAACATAAACACACCAAGTGACTTACAACTGAACATTTCATGCTTGAGGGCCTAACCTTAGGCACATTGGGCCCCTCATTTACAAACACTAGCTATCATGCTTAATGGTGCAAATGGTCCATTGAAGCCAAAGGAAACAGTCTACACCTGCTGTGTTTTATGTGGCTCAGCCAACATGAGCTCTGAGAACAAATAGGGAACTCTGGAGCCATAGACTCTTACTCATAACATTTTGCCTCTGTTCCTCAAGAATTCAAGTAACAAGCTTTCCAGGAAGCATGCCTCAAGAAAAATATGGAGATAGAGCACAGAGAGGAGAGCATTCCCTTAAAAGCCAGGTGAAAACCATGCAGTATTTTATAGATTAAAAACTAACTCCTTGAACTGCGTTTAGATGCAGCTGGAAGCCAAATGTAGTGTATGGAATACAATGGTCAGAGATGGCCCAAGACCAAATGATGCCCTAGGCAAGGAATAGTTTTGGCATTTCCACCCCCTCCATTTATTAAACAGTTAGATACCTTGTTTTTATTGCATTTGTAGGCCATTTCATGACTTTGCTGAATGATTTGCATTATTTATCCCTGTCATGAGAGATGATAAATTGACATGCTAGGATCCTTAAATCTGTATTTATTCATGCCAATATAAGCAAATAAGAAAAATAATCATGTTCTCTATGCCTATAGAAAAATATTTTAAGAATAACTGAAATGTACTAACATCAAGAAATTGATCTGTGCGCCAATACAGGAAGGACCAGCATTAAAATGTGTCATACTAGGTGACAGCCTTAGAATGTTAACCCAGGTCCCAGGCTTTCATTTCTGACACTTTGCTCTTATATCTCAGTACTGACTGGCAACGTGCCACCACTTTTATACCTGCAAGGGCATGTCTGACAACATTCTAGAAGGTTCAAGGAAAATGTAGTTCTCAGAAAGTCTGGAAAGCTCCACAAGGTTCTCTTTTAGGAAATGTTAGGACGTTAGTGAAAAATGATTCCTCAAACATTTTCAAAGGGTATTCTATTTTCCCTTTTGTTGCTAACAAGAAAAACAGCATCCTGAACCCAGTGTCCTGCAAGCCAGGCAGTCACATGGGTTGCCTGTCCTTAACTCCAGCCCAGGGTATGGCAATATATCAGTCAGTATATGCTGCTATGTAAGCAAGCTGTCATGCCTGCACAAACACAGACTTCTCTGTGATCCTCAAGCATATCCTAGTGAATATCCCATGGCAGTAATATCATTTCAATAATAATCATAGAATCATAGAATGCTAGGGCTGGAAGAGACATCAGGAGCTCATTGAGTCCAGCCCCCTGTCCAAAGCAGAACCAGTCCTAACTAAATCATCCCAGCCAGGGCTTTATCAAGCTGGGACTTAAAAACTTCTAGGGATGGAAATTCCACCACCTCCCTAGGTAACCAATTCCAGTGATTCACCACCCTCCTGGTGAAATAGTTTTTTCTAATATCCAACCTAGACATCCCCCACTGTAACTTACTTAATAATCCCTGTTAATACACATCAGTATTATTTATATCATTAACTATATTTTCTTAACTGGCTGGGTTAATAATCAAGATTTTTCCTATTTGGATACCTGTAGGAATAAAGCCCTTAACATAAAAACATATTTGTTGTTTACTGATTCTGTATGCCATAAATTTTATCTTTAGAAGGTGCACCAAATTCACTTTGCACAACTCCTAAAACTGCTTTAATCCCATGACAGAGTTCTTCATGGAAGGCTAGATACTCAGTGCAAGTAGGACATGGTAAGCAAAAAAGGCATAGCAGCTAAATAAAATAAAATAATTTCCCAAGCAATGTCAAAACCACAAAATGGCTATTCTTTGGACAAAAGTTAGGTCCAGTCATGGTGCAAGTAAGAAATTCAGAAGTTCTTGTTCAGATAATCTATCATGCTATTTCTGATCTCCAGCCTCTCTCACTGACCACCATCAAATTCAAGTGCAGCTTTTGCTGTGTAAAAATCTTTAATCAGCCAAATTGTGGGCTATGTGACATGACACACTTACTGTTTTTTCTTGCATTCACTTGCTCGGTCCACAGTGAAGTCTGGCAGGTTGATGAATCCTTCAGCTTTCTCTGCCTGCAACAAAATATGTCACCAGCATTAACCCAGGCTCCAATGAGGGGACCAAGATTATATCAATTCCTGACAAACTTTTATTTTGTGTGCATACATCTCTACTGCAAGGAAACAGATAGGGTTTGGTTTTATGTGACTGTGGGTTGTCTATGCCACTGTGATGGTAGTGTCACTAAACTGCCTGCTGTGCAAGTGAACAAGGTGCAGGCATAGGTTTTATTCCATACCCCCAGAGGCCAACTAGAAGAGGTGAACAGGCACAAGAGGGTATGGAATCTGAACCTACATAGGGTTAGGGAAGATTATTCCCTCCTCTGGAACAACTGTGCTTGTATTCAGGATTTATCACAAAGTCACACTCTTACACCATTCGTTTGAAGAAGTGGGTTGTGTCCATGAAAGCTCATGATGCTGTCCATTTTCTTTTGTTAGTCTCTAAGATGCTACAGGACCACTCATTTTTTAAAATATTTTTTTAAGTTACAGACTAACACAGCTACTCCTCTGAGATTTCTGGGTCTTAGGGTCAGCTCCAGACATAAGCTCCAAAAGCAAAATGTAGTCTGGGGTTGGAACAGGAGGAGCTAGCGGACTACAGATCCCTTTGCAATGATCAGTGGTCTCAATCAGCTACTGCTGTACATGAACAAAGTGATCGGCCAAACCTCATACAGGGTACATGGGAAGCTGAACTCTTAACCTTCAACTCCAAAAAAGCAGAAGCCTCTTCTCTTGGGAGGTAAAGGATAATGTCAATATAAGTCTTCTTTTTGCAGGCATGGCAATCTCAGAGGAGTAAGTGCTTGAGCTGGCTTGACATTCAGCACAACACTGCTTAATACACCTTGCTAAAATAAAGGGCCAGATTTTATCCAGGCTTCCTTTAATTGTTCACAACATTGCCAGTGTAATTTAAATATCTAAGTGTCTGATTTACAGGTATATTTGGATAATTAAGCTTATCCTGAACTCAGTTAAGTGCCTGGCCTGCAAGACACAAGGGTGCTGGGGAAGGAAAGGCACAGAACCCCTCCCCAATAAGGTTGCAGCCTGTTCCTAAAATCCATCCCTATGTCTTCCTTCTTTCAATTGAGCATTGTGCTCAGTCTCTGTAGATCTGAACCCTTCTCCTCTTATGAATGGCCATGATGCAGACAAACAAGAACCTGCATGTACATGTGCAAGGAAAATACAGATTTTCACTTTCAAAAACCATGAGAAATATTAATTCCTGAGCTACTCCTTTCTCGTCCTCCCCCTCAACCTTACCACATTATAATTCTGAAAACGTACATTGTGATAAGCAGCTAAGCTATCTCAAGGTAATTCAAAGCACAGGGACAATTCAGATGCAGAAGACTGACAGCACCTCAAATGACATTGTTTGTCTGTGAATATGAAGTGACTATGAAAAGGGGGATGTTAGCCAAGAATAGTCTCACGTTTTTATGTGTCAAATATTTAAACTAGAGTGGCTGAAGACATTGATTGAGTAATTAAGTGCAGAGGAAGCAATGAGGTTAATCATAGGAGGTGAGGAAATTGCAGTTTTGTGGAGTGACTTCTACAATGAGAAATACTGGTTTGCTGCTGTTTTTTGTCTTCTCTAGATTCTAATTTTAACTATCTGTCCAGAGTGCTACAGACTAGGATAGGCTTACTTATATGTTTCCCATGTTGAAATGTAATTACATTAAAATATAGTGAGCAGGAGATCAGAAGGTTTTTTTTGGGGGGTGAGGGGAGGGAAGGAAAAATAATAAACAAAAGGGAATTTTACTAAAATTGCATCATATTTAAAAGGGGGGAGTGAGGGGAGGGAAGGAAAAATAACAAACAAAGGGAATTTTACTAAAATTGCATCATATTTAAAATAGGGTAAACAACACCCTGAACTAATGCTTTCAACCTAGCAGCCCTAGTAAATGAATGGAAAATTAAAGGAAAGCCAAGAAGAGAGAAAGGAATTCCGTGAGCATGCCTTCCAGAGTCTGGCTACTGACAGCATTAAGGGAAGAGAACTACCCTAGTTATGCAGTGTTAGAGTACCAAAAACCCCATCTCTCCAAAGCCAAGTACAATAAACAATCTACATTTCTCTTCCCAGCACAAGCTTTCAAAAACAAATGTCAACACAGACAAGTACTCCATGTGATTCCTAGCATAGCGCTGAAACAGCTGTTATTATATGCACCATTGGACTGGAAAGGTACACCCACAATGCCTGTTTCTCCACTCCGTCCACCCACAATCAAACTATACAATTTTAGAAATCGAGATTAAGATGATATTTTTTAAAAGGAACATCCTTCACCTCCCCTCACCCTCCAGCCCTACCCACACACCAACAAAATGAAATATAAAGCAAGAACCAATAAACGTTGTAACATCAGGAGGCTCTTTGGCAGCCTATAATATGAATCTCTATTTATTTTAAAAAAAAAAGAAAGAAAGGAAGAGAGATGACTGCACAGTACCATAGTATATATTTTATATACTGTATTTTTGAGGGATCAACAAGATATTTCCTGTTGTAAGTTTGCCATAGCTAAAAATAAATGCAAATCCTGGGCATCAGAGTCCTCCTAATGCACTTTATACCATTTTAAGAAGGATGTTGAAAAACTGGAGACAATTCAGAGAAGAGCTAAAAAATGCATCAAGTACTAGGCAAAATGCCTGACAGAGAGATTTAAAAAGCTCAATCTATTTGTTTTATCAAAAAGATTTAGAAGTGGCTTGATTATAATATATAAGTACCTTCACAGGGAGGAAATACCAAGGACTCTAGCAGAGAAAGGTACAACAAAAAAAAATATGACTGGAAGCTGAAGTCTGCTATATGCAAATTGGAAATAAAGCACTAATTGTTTTTAGCAATGAGAGTGATTAACCAGTGACCAACGGAAGTGGTGCATTCTCTATCTCTTGATATCTTAGAATCAGAACTGACAGCCAAACACTTGTTGTTATGCTTCAGTCAAACAAGTTATTGGGCTCGATATGGGGGGAAATGGGAAAAATGTTATGGCCTGTGATATACAGGAGCTCACACAAGATGATCTAATGGAACCCCCTTACTTTAAAAATGTATGGATTTATGAATACCAGTCCTAGTTCCTTCCAAACATAATTATGCACACCAATGACCTGCAGAGGATTCAGCTCTACAAACAAGTGTAGACTATAACGGTAAGTCTCACTTCAGGTTTTAATTGACCCTTTTGTCCCACTGTGTGTCACTCTGTTTTAAAAAGAATCATTCCTTTCAATCATTTAAGATGACATACTTACAGCCTCAATACACCAGAACACTTAAAAACAGGTGCTTCCACTAAGCATGTGCAACAACTGAAGCCACTTGACTATTTGCATTCTTAAAGTTAAGTAGGTGCTTAAATGCTTTGCATATTTCAGGATCAAACCCTGAGAAGTGATTCTCTAAGTGTCATTTTAGGGTTCCATGTTCATTGTATCTTTGTGATTTCCGCATCATATTTAATGCATTTACAAGTTGGACATGCTTTTATTGTTTTGGGCAATGTGTGTGGGGGGCATTGTTTGTTTAGTTTTGTTTTTTCTTATGTTTCTGTTTTTAACTGACAGTTCTGTAAACTAGACCTGATATTTCCACTGTAATCCCAAGACATACAGCAAGTATGTCTGTGAGCAGTGTTGTGATAGCTGTAGTCACAGAAGTCAGCAAATAGGATTCTAAATAAGCATCAGGAGCTGATATATGAACTTAAGGTGTCATTTTTACAATCACTTTTTGGATGTGAAAATTCTGTGCAAGTCATAAACCATTATCACTTGCCTCAAGAACTATTTTCTAACCTGATTCTAAATTCACAATTATTACCGTAAAAAGTTGCGAGTATAGTGCGCACTTTTTTCAGATTTTCTAACCTGATTCTAAATTCGCCATTATTACCGTAAAGTTGCGAGTATAGTGCGCACTTTTCCCCCCGTTTTTTTAACGTCAAAGTCGGGGTGCGCATTATCCATAGGAGGTTTTTTTTTAAAGTTTTAAATTCACTCTCAGCAGGCACAAGCTGGGCGGGGAGGGAGTCAGGCATGGACTGGGCTGGGCTGGGCCCGGGGGCCGGCAGGCGAGAGCTCGGCGCACGGACAGCTGGGCAGGGGAGGCTCCCAGTCCGGCAGGCGAGAGCTCGGCGCGCGGACAGCTGGGCAGGGGAGGCTCCCCCGGCAGGCGCGAGCTCGGCGCGCCGGCAACTGGGTGGGGGAGGCTCCCCCTTCCCCCCGGCAGGTGAGAGCTCAGCGTGCATGAGCTCAGCTGGGCAGAGGGACCCCACAGCAGGCATGAGCTCAGCTGGGCAGAGAGCCCTTCCTTCCTATGGATACCTTAAAATCTCAAGTATAATGGGGGTGCGCATTATAAATAAGAGTTTAGTTTATTCAAGAATTTTGACCTTTAAAAGGCATATGCGCATTATACATAGGTGAACATTATACTCAAGATTTTACAGTAATTTCATAATGATGAGGCCAAGTTCCTCTGTGGTCTTGTTGCAATGTCTCAAAATGAAGGATTCCAATTGAAAGAACCCCGATCTACCTATATAGCAGGATGTTCAAAAATTAGAACAAGCTGTTGCATTTGGTTTTAAGGTGGGTTGCCCTACATATAAAGGAAAACTATCCAACAGTTCAAAAGTTCATAAACCAAAATATATCATTCTAAATTAACTGGATATGTCTTTTAAAAAAAAATTATCACTGGTATTATTAGAAGCAGCCATCTTGCTGAACAAGTGAGTGACTATAGCTAGTTTGTGACCAATTAAAAACATTTTAAGCTTTCAAATTATTTTATAAAATAATTGCAACTAATTTTAAGATAAAAAAGATTTTAAAAAGATTAATTGCATTGTTAAACAGCAATAGAAGACCAAAATAATTGCATTATATACATTTCAATAGCTTTAAAATGAACCCATTTGTTTTAGTAAAGTTTTGCCATCTTAAAGCTATTGATA